AAAAAAGGAGCGGTCGCCGGAGGGAGATGGGAGGGAGAAGGAGGGAGTGGTGTGTTGGGGAAGAAAGAACATTCAAATAAAATAATATTATGTGTTAAGGTTGGTGGAGATAAAGTAATCATAAAATAATATGTTAGTTGGTTTTAGTGGGATAATGTAATAATTGATTTTATTTTTTGACTTATTTTAAAGGTAGGGAGTTAGAAGGAAAATGATTATGGGGGTAGGGAGTTAGAAGGAAATTTTTTTGATTAGGGATTGATAAGGAAGTCGATTTAGCTTTAGGGATTTTTGAGGAACTTGCCCTTTATTGAGTTTACTTTGGATTCTTATTAACAAGGGTGATGCTACATAGCCACCCTCCATTACAACATGGTTTACAACCATGTGTAATGGAGGCATTGAAAAATGTGCATTATTGTATTTTTTAATACCTCCATTACACATGGTTGTAAACCAAATTGTAATGGAGGTTGGCTAAGTAGCATAATTCTATTAACAAAGCAAACATAATGGCACTCAGCCCCACACGGGCGTAAAAAGATAAGATACATTAGTGTTGGTGAGTCAACTTGTCATTTATTATGTTAGACATAATAATTAAATGCCTGTCTTTATCATGGACGCGTGTGTGGTGAAGGGATAATGCTCCCTTAAGGGCGTCTCCAATGGTTAGTTATTTGGCTAACTATTATGACGTGGACAGGGGAAAAGTAAGAGAGAGTAGTTACTAGCTACTAACAAATAGCTTATCTATTTCACGTAGCTCAAGATCATGTGAGAGGAGTACATGGGTCCAATAGTGTAAAATAATTATTTTTCTTATCTCTCACATCCACGTCAGCTAACCATATAGCTAGTAATAGCTATTACCATTAAAGATGCCCTAAGTTACCGGCAATGACTCAGCTTATCACTACTTGATGGGTCCTATTATTATCTTCCACTTGAAGTGGTTGATTGTGTATGGAATATTATTATCTTCCTATATATATGTTCTTTTGGTTTTGTAAAATTTTACATTTTTCCATGTAAAAGCTCGTAGCTTGTTTAACCTTTGGAAAATATATATATATATATGCTAATTCTAACAATGGACAAGTTTGAGTTAGAAAAGAAAGTAATTTCTGAAGATGGTGAGGAGCAAAGGCAAGAATTCAAAGGCAAGAAAAAGCAGCTTGGAGGTGTAAGAACAATGCCATTCATCCTTGGTAATATATAAGCTCACTTCATATCATCATCTTTTTTATTACAAATTATATATTATTTTTGATGCACTAGCTTAGCTAGTCATATTGTCTCGTGGCCAAACTTATGCGATCCATTCGAGCCAAAAATTGGTCGACGTATCTTTTTTGAAGTAAGGATTAGAATGCCAATGTTTTTTCTCTCAAAAGTTACTTTATTGAATCATATTCCAACATCTAAGTACTAACACAATTCAATTGTTGTTCATAATCTTCACACAAACATTCAACCAACAGCAAATGAAATATGTGACCGATTTGCCGGCGCCGGATTTCATGCCAACATGATCACATACCTCACTCAGGTCCTCAACCTGCCCCTCGTCAAGGCCTCCAACACCCTTTCCAATTTCGGCGGCACCTCCAACTTCACCCCTATCATCGGAGCTTTCCTAGCCGACTCCATTGCCGGCCGGTTTTGGACCATCGTCATCGGCTCCATTTTCTACTTAATGGTCTCTCCAATCATTCTTAAAATAAAAAAAAAA